AGGCCCCAAGAGACAGCGGATGTAAAATTCTCAAGTTGCCAGAGCAGGAAGCAAATCTCAAAGGAAATATCTTAGTTCCTTGTTGACTCTTAAAAATCTCTCACTCAAAATAAGATCATAAAAGGGCAGCGGAAGTGGAGTTTAGGAAGTCTCTATGAGGAAGTTTTCTTCAAAGAAAGCAAGGCTGAGTTCTACCTAACCTCTGGTCCAGGGTTTTCCTCCTTAATCTCCCTGGGGAGGGGCATCAGGTGGCCACGAGGGCAACCTGATTTGTGTTCTCTCGGTTCTGAGAGTATCTGACTTTGGCCTGAGATATCCAAAATTGAGAGGCTGAAGGTATTGGCTTGTGGCAGCAGGTTCAGAGAGAGAGAGAGAGAGAACAGGGAAGGATGAGAGAGAATACTCAAGACGCGTGTGCTCTGTCAGGTGCGTTTGAGTCTCGATGGGAGCGAAGTATGTACGAACGTTTCTTGAGGACCCTGAAGAGAGCCATTTGTGAGAGAGAGCTGTGCAGCTGATGTGGAAATCCTGGCCAAGAGCAACACCTGGAGAGGTGATCTACAGGTGAATTTGTAGAAAGTAGCCTAAGGGAGGAAGTAGCAGGCAGAGCAAACTGCATTGACCAGGACAGGAGAGACAGAGTGGGAGTTTCATGTTCACGTCTCTAAGATTGTTAGAAAGCACCCAAGAGCGGCGCCTGGGTGGCTCAGTTGGTTAAGCATCTGCCTTTGGCTCAGGTCATGATCTCAGGGTCCTGGGATCCAGCCCCACTTCCGGCTTCCTGCTCAGTGGGGAGTCTGCTTCTCCCTCTCCCTCTGCCTCTCCCCCTGCTCATGCTCTCTCTCCGTATATCTCTGTCTCAAATAAATATATAAAATCCTTAAAAAAATTGTTAAAAAAAAAGAAAGAAAGAAAGAAAGCACCCAAGAGAGCAAGTGCTTGGTTTAGTCATTGGCCAGGCCCAGAGCAAAGTCTCCTTGCAGTAGGAACACTTGAGCATGAATTTGGTATCCTCCAACTTCTCTTTTCTCCCTATGTTATGAATTTGGAGGAGGTTCCTTTCCCCTTTCAGGGAGGACCCAGACTGCCTGCGAGGGATCCTAGCTGGGAGAGTACAGGGAAGGCCTATCCCTGAATGAAGCTTGAAGTGGTGAGCAAAGTGGATTGGCATTCACAATACAGTTTCTGAATTCAAACCGTATTTTATGGCTTTACTGATCAAAGGATTTTTATTACCTAAAAGTCATCAGAGAAGTTACAGGACCGCCCACATATTCATCTGAATAGGTATGGGAGGGACAGTGGCAGGTGGGGGTTCCCCTTCTGCTGGCATCCTCCTTGCTCTACGTGCTGGTCTCAGCTGAGCCGAGAGCCGTGCTCATGGAGAGTCGCCAACTTGGCCAGTGCTTTTGTTCTTCAAAGAAATCTATGTCAAGAGGTATATGTCACCCAGGGAAATTGGGAATTAGTAGACTTAAATGGGAATGACAGCTTGAAACTGGAAGACACAGGGGACGTGGTGTCTGGAAGCCAGCCGAAATAAAGAGATGTCAAGAAAGCTGGCAGTCACCATTGAAGACTTTGGCCTTGGCCTCTGGGCCTCCGTCTTCGTATGAAACGCCAGGCAAAGACTGTCACTGAACAGAAAATGGGGCCCCACTGACTGACTACAGAAAACGTGGCGGGGCAGGATACATGCCTCTTTGGCAATCTGTCCAGTGCCTATTCTCTGGGAAATCTCTGTGCATGAACAGAGGTGAGCCCCGGCAGCCATGTTGGCGGCCTCCACCCTCCCCACTCCTGCCACCTCCCTCACCACAGAGGGTGGGATAGAGCGGGGAGAGGCCAGGCGAGGCCACTCATATTCTCTCTCCATAAAATTTGGGATTGGGTCAAGGTTGTTGATTTAGTCGGGGCTCGGGGAGCACTGGGGTAGCTTTACTTTGACTCCTGGACTTAGGATCCGGGAAAGCTGTTTTCCAGAGACCAGGAGAGTACAGAGAAGCGGGTTTGAAGATAGAAGAAACTGCAGCCAAGTTCCTCTTGTCTCTCAGGCCCTGGCTCCTGGCCTTCCTGGGGACTGACTTCTTTTTGCCCTTGGAATCTCGAAGTTACCTCTCTGTCTTTAGAACTGATTTTTGAACTCTATTATTAGGGCACAGAGATTACTTTTCAGTGGCTTTGAAGCATTGTGCCATATATTTCAGTAGTTACATTTGTTATTTACTTTGTAATTTACTTAGTTGCTGCATCTTGTAATTCACCTGCCACTTCCAGCCGGATGCACCGAGATACTTTGCTGTTCCCAGCATTTCCTCTGATTGGCCCTCCACAGTGGGGGCTCGCTGTCTTTTCTTATAGACATGTGCTAATGGCGTGAGTTCAACCTGTAAGGAGAAAGCCATGCCCAGAAGCAGGGGGAGAAGCCAGAACTAGTAGGGCAGATCTCTAACTTCAAGGGCTTCAGCTCTGTCCTAATTCTGGCCAAAGAGGATTAATACTGTTAACTCATTACAGTCCTAAAAGGAATGTCATAGTTCAAGGTGGGCTGTGCACTCTATTTAATGACTTTTGTTTAAGAAACGAAGGCAAGGATGATGTGGAACAATAATCAGTCTGTTTCTTCTCCTACTTTGCTCAGCTCGTATACTCTCAGAATGCTGTTTCTCACTGGATTTTTGTTTCCACATTCTGAGCTTATCCATGGTAGGCAAGCTTATGATGTGGGGAAAGTTGATTTTTTAATGCAATGGTTTCTAAGGCTTTGCATTAGATTTCCTTCTTCCCGACTGGGGTCCCAGGTTCCTCTGTTGTTGCTCCCTGGATCTAGAACCCTGTAGCCTTTCACTGGGGTGACTCCGGCTGAATCCGTGATTCCTCATTTCCTTCAGGATGATTTCCTTGGCCCCTTCTGGACTGTGTTCCCCTAGCACCTTGATTTCCCCATCATTTGTGCAGTAACATTTTATAGATCCACTTGGGTCCGTGTCATTCTCATTATTAGACCCTGACATCTAGCTGATCCCTGGAAAATAGTTGGTTCTTCCTAGATCTATGCCTGATACACTGGCTTGGTGAATTAAGGCCCACTTCTTTGGACCCTGAAAAAGGTCTTCTCTTTGTTCCTACAACATCACTTTTCTTTCTCCTTCAGGACCTTGGCTCTTGCTGTTTGCTAGGAATGCCACTGCCCTCGAGTTTTGCATAGCTGGCATTTTCTGATTTAAGTGGCAACCCAGAGTAGTTCTCTCTCCCTTCCCAAATTCAAGTAGTGCTTCCATCCCTCGGCTCACTCTTTTTTCTTCTCTGTCTTTATTCCTTTCTGTAAATGTATTCGTTTACCGGTTCATTATCCTTCTTTTACGGATAAATAGCTTCTGGTCTGCCTTGTTCAAGACAATACTTAGTAGAGTGCCTAGTTCATTGAAGGAACTAGAATTTGATGATTAATGTTATTGCACGTTTGTTGAGTAAATGAATACAAGAATAATTTTTGATATAAATGATTCAATCCCAAAGAAAGAATGTTAGTGGTGGAATTTCAGGCATGATTGTGGAAAAAAAACTTTTGGAGTGTTTTCTTTCCAATTTGTTCATAGTAGACAGTGCTAAGTTTTTTTTTTTTCTCACATATTTAAACATATTTAGATCTCAACACTAAGTTACCTGCTTAGAATACGCTGGGACACATATTTTTAGACTATCACTTAAGATTCCATTTATTACAAGGGTTCTATAAAAAATGTGTTAGGTAATGAGGTTAATGTCCTTCAAAGAGCTTTACCTTTTTCTCAGGAAAAAAGAGGATTTGCTCTATTCTTTGTATTGAGTTTCTTGTCCTTCTTTTCAAATTCATGTTCACCTTAATATTCCTTTCCTTCCTTAGGTTTGATTTTTGTCCATTTACATTTTTTCACTACTATTTAATTTAGGGAGTTGTTAGGGGAAGTGCTTTATTTCGAACAGTCTATTTCAGAACCTCATGGGAATGGCAGGAAGAACAAACAGAATAGTAAGGCAGCCAGAGTTAAGGGAGTGTGGTCCCCAGGTGAGTTATGCTTCACTCCCTTCTAAACTGCCTAGGATAATACGAGGCTTGACTACTATGGTCTGAGAGCTCAGATTGCTTAACTATAAGTCATTGATCCTTGTCTCCCCTCTCCTCCCTCAGCTTTCAGTTTTCAAAGTCTAAGTCACATCTTGAAATTTTGTCACATTCCTTTCTTATAATTCCCTACATTAGTTGAGTTTTCCGATTTGTATCTTCTCAACTTCTCTCTGTATACTACCCTTTTTGGTTTTTGTTTATACTTTATTTTGTCCTTTGGATTCTAAATTCTTCCTGTCACGGAGTTTTCCTATAAATCTGTTTACAGCGTGATGCATTCTAAGTATGTCCCATACGGAACACAAGTAAAACGGAAAAAAAAAAAAAGTTACGCATAATTTTGCCAAGAGTGAAAACATTTTATGCCTTTTCTTTGCACAGGACAATTTCCTTCTGAATCTTATGCAGCATTTAAAAAATACCCAGGAGACCTCTCTAAAGCCAAGCGATGTTAAAGATTAGCTGTTATTCATCAAGTTCATACGGGAATGAAAGAATCGCTCGCATCTGGCAAAGAAACCTGGGTATCCGAGGTTTTGCGCTTCAGAGAGGGTACAGGTCCATAAATCAGCCCATTCTGCAGCCACCTGGGAACGGAGCGGGTGGGGCGGAGCTTCCGTTGATTGAAGGGCGAAGGAGAGGAGCTAGAGAGTTCTCACCAATCAGAGTTCCGCTTTGTTTTCTCTTACCGGCCAATGAGGGAGCTCTGCTGGCGAGGCTGTCTTCAAGTCCGAGCCACCCACCTCCATCGCAGCCTATCAGCAGACCGCTTTTACGAAGCGTCCGCGGAGCTCCCGCCCCGCGGGCGGAGCGGCCCTGCCCCTTCCCGCCCCTCCGGCCGTGGCCCCACCCCGCCGAGGGAGGGGGCCAAGTCGGTTACTCACTGGGCTGGAGGTGGGGGCCGGGCTCCCGCTGGGCTCGTGCGTTCTGCGCCCGTCGAGGCGGTGCCGAGCCCGCTGGCTCCGGATTGTCCTTTGCGGCGGCTGCGGTCGCTGCCTCTTTGCTTCCCGACCCGGGGCTGCAGGGGCCGGAGCGATCGCGCCTCCCGCGGGCCACGGCTGCCCAGAGCAGGTAATGGGGCGCCGTGGCTGCAGCCCCTATCCGAGCACCGGTGCGGCGCGGGCGG